TAGTTAGGATGAAACCTTGGAAAGTGAAAGTTTGCATGTATAATAGAGAAAACATATATCCAAGGTTTCTAGGGTTGCATGCACAACTTAGGAGTGTTAAAATGCTCAAAACCCATCAACTTCCACCAACCCTGTAGCCACTCATACATTCTAATCATACATAACACTGGATCCTATACACAATTGAATACTTGGTTCTACCCTAAGCCCACAACCAAACAAGGAACAGGAAATAAGGCTAATCAAACATTCTCATGCTATAAAATCTTTTTTACGTACAACTATGATGCATACACTAAGAAACTATAGTAATGATGTCAATTTCATACAATAAGTACTGCTAGGCTATCATGCATCATACATCAGACAATTCTATCATGCAATTCCTGAAGATCCCTAGCCTATCACTAGCAATGTAGTTCTATCATAAACATCATATCAAATAACAGTATGGGTAACTTGGGGTATACTTTATTGCTTTGGCTGATAGTACACATCGCATCCTTCTTTGGTTACTTTTGAAAACCATTTTTAAAACTTTTGCAGTTCCCTAGTTTGAGTCTGGATTCACACAAATTTTCATCCAATTCTCTCAAAACAAGGCTCTAATACCAACATGTAACATCCCATAATCACAATAAATTTGAACTTTTCAAAAACTAATCATAACCATAAATGTTTACAAAACCATTGTTTCAAAAAGTGTAATTTAGTAATCAAAGTATCCCAAAATCCAAACAACATAAAACCAAAAGATGTGCAGGATCACGCCTTCACCATGTCACGATCATCTGAAGTACCTGAAACAATAAACTGAAACTATAACCCAAAACTTAGTGAACTCCCCCAAAGTACCAACACACAAACATATAACAACATGCATACTGGGTCCGCAACTAACATACTGGATTACATCTAAGCCCACAGTATGAGTCTGGCTTTCCTTTCAGGCCCACAACTCATATTTGGCTTACTTCCGAGCCTACAACATAAGTCTGGCTTGCCCTTCAGGCCCACAGTTTAAGTTTGGCTTGCCCTTCAGGCCCACAGCTTATGTCTAGCCCACAACATAAGTTTGGCTTGCAAAAAGCAATACTACCTCAGTCCAACCATATTATGTCAATATATACATAACAGATAACATATAACAGTAACATATAATCATATAACCAGTCAACAGACTAACAGCCAAATCTACATATCATTATTGTATAACAACATCATATATACCAGGACTCAGTACTAACAGATCAATACATCATAGCAACATCTTCTAAACCACGATATATAACTCAGTGGGCCGGCATCGGTGCTTTCGATCCATAACTACAATGAGGGAAAACTCACCTCTCAGTCTGAACAAATAGCTGAATAGGTCTTGCTCCGAATCTCAACTATACCCGTCACCTATTCATCAAATAGTGACCAATCTCAAAGACAATTCAAAATACCCTTAGGTAAGTTCTTTTGAGAGAGAGAGAGAGAGAGAGAGAGAGAGAGAGAGAGAGAGAGAGAGAGAGAGAGAGAGAGATAAGTTCTTTTGAGAGCCAAAAGATTTGTGGGAACCCGAGAAATCCTAATATGCTCAACATTTTTCAATACCAAGACAACCATTGGACTCCTAGACTTTCGTCTAAGAGAGATCCATGCTCCAAAAAAAGATTTGAAGAACTTTTTTTCTTTGAAAATGTGCATATATGCACATCTAAATGTGCATGCATGCACATCTAAATGTGCATTCATGCACATCTAAATGTTCATTCATGCACATTTATGTATTCTGTGTTTTTTGACGTTTTCAAGTTGCGATTCTCTTAAACGTTGATATTACAGTCTCATTCTTGTGTTTGTTTTGAATTTTTTTGAAAAAACATTAAATGTTTATACATGCACATATATGAACATTCAAATGTGTATATATGCACATTTAAAAAAAATTGTCAAATCTTTTTTAGCCTAGATATGCCTTAGACGCAACATTTGGAGACAAATGGTGGTATTCGTTTTGAAAAATGATGAGCGAATTAGGAGTTATCGGGTTCTCGCTAATCTTTTGGTATGCACAATAACTTAACTCTCTCTCTCTCTATGTGTGTGTGTGTATATATATATATATATATATATATATATATATATATATATATATATATATATATATATATATTATTTAGTAAGTTAAATATTTTAAAATTAATAATTATTATTTATATTAAAAAAGTGAATGAAAAATAAAAAATTGAGTAAATTATACGAATCGTCCCTCGTGGAGATGCCAAATGACACGTTTAGTCCTTATTTTCAAAAATTAACTTGGATCGTCCATCGTTTGTTTAAAACTTGCATACTTCATCCCTCTTTGCTTTAAATTTGCACACTTAATCCTTTACCAGATATAAAATGACTATAATACCGTTACTATTTTATCTATTTATTTATTTAAATTCAATATATATTAAAAAAAAGTACAACGCATATATTTATGTTCCCTTTTTCCTCTCAAAACACTTGAAAGCATAAAGTATCCTCATAACCACTACCACCACCGGCCACCATCAACCTTCTATTGCAGTTCCAGCAACGATGGTTTCTCAATCTCTCTTGCACCAAACAAGATCGAAAGAGGAAATCGATCTGAGAGTCCTCGATAGTAGTGGAACAAGCACTAAACCAATCCAAAATAAAAAAGAAACTGAAATTGGTTCCAGAAATCGAAATCGAAAATGGTTCCAGAAATTTAAGTCGAAGTTGATATCATACAGATTGTGGTCGTATTCGTTCCACAGCGTCTTCGTTGGATATGGACTCAGGTTTGGAGAACGTTGAGCAGTCGACAAGTTCAGACCATGGATGGAGTCTTCGATTTCGATTTCTGAAAAGCTCCTTCATTTTCATATGAGCTCATTTGGGTTTCTGAAAAAAATGGGCCCTTAGTCATCGATCTGGTGGTGGTTGATGGGATTATCGTTTGATTTTTTAGGTTCTTTCTTTTACTACGATCTGTAGGTTCTGATAGGTAGGTTTAGGTTTTGGAGTTGCTTACGGGTTTTAGGTTTTGGTTGAGTTCAAGTATAAATTTTCTGATTCTGATATCATTATGTCAAGATTCTAGTTTGATTTGGATTTGGTTGATGAACGAGTTAGCTGCAATATCTCAAGAAAATCATAAAAAAAATAGATAAAACAAAATAGGATTGAGGGTTAGGAAGGAAATCAAATCGATTTTCCCATGAATTCGTTCATTCATCCACTTCCTGCCAATCGAAATCTCCACTTATGTTGATGTTTAGATTCATCAAGTGCAACCGGTGGCGATCCTTGAAGCAACAATAGGGGAGGCGGTGTTGTTATCGTCGGTTGGTGGTGGTTTATGATCAAGTAAGAAAAAAAGGGAAAAATTTTGTGTATACCCTTAAACAATAAAATATCGTATTTATCCAAGGTAAAACCTAAATATCATATTTGTCCTTCTTAACTTTTAAAATATCATATTTGTCCAAATTTATTTTTTGAATATTTCTTAAAATCTTTTTATCACTTTTGGTATTTATAATCAATTTAACTTGAAAATAAATGGCTAATTGACCAACTTGCCCTTTGATATTAAACCCTTTTCCTAATTACGTAATGGAAGCTACGATTATGATCTGCACCAACTGAAACCATAAACACACGACGCATGCTAGAAAAAAAAAGCTTCATTCAATGTCGCCTTCAACAACATTTGTACAACAAAGAAGCGGGAAGATGGGAATTAAAGTCGGATCAAGTAATTGAACGTGAACATAGACTGATATTGTCAATTTTGATAATCGATCAAACAATTCTGATTCATAACATTTTGATTGGAAATTTCATATTATCAAAATTTGATTGAAAGTTCTGATTTTTGATTACTCACCTAGTACTTAAGTTGAACGCTGTTTTTCATCTTAAATTACAACCTATGCGTACTATGTTACTGATTCTAAAGTAAATGATCGAGAAATTGATCCTCTCGATTGAAGTAGTTAAGGAAGGAATTTATGAAGTGTATGTGGAAAAAGTTTCAAACATGAAAACCCATCTTGATAAGAGTAAAATCAAAGGCCACCGGCAATTTGTCGGTAGTTAATCGATGTGGTTAAGGAACGAAATTCACCTTATAGAAAAATTGGGAAGTCGGTTGTTGGTGTCACCTTTATTCCTCCTTCCGATAAATACCTAGTGGTTGATCAATTGGTTTCTTGATGCTGAACAAAGGGAAAAGGCGTAGTTTGAAGCCTGCATGAATTCGGTGATACAGTACTTGATTTCCAAGGTTAGTGGTAAGTTAGTGGTAAGTTAGTCATGTGAAAATGGTTTTAATATTCAAGTACAATATGGTCAATTAATATTTTTATTTTAAATATAATATTTATAAAACACAATATTTGATTATAAATTATTAAAAAATTATTTAAAAATAAGATTTTGGGTAAATATGATATTTTAAATGTTAAGAATGACAAATATGATATTTAGGTTTTCAGCTGGGCAAATACGATATTTTATTGTTTAACAAGGGTATACATGAAATTTTCCAAAAAAAAAAACTAAGAGATAATAATTGTCGGGTAGGGTGGATATTTTTTCAAATTAATTATTCATTCTATTTTATTAAATAACTTTTTAATAGATTATATGTCGATAGATAATAAATAAATCAAAAAGAAATAAATAAGGGAATATGATCTCTTTTATGTCTGTAGGGATGAAGAGTGTAACGTTTAAACTAACAAGAGACGGTCTGAGTTAATTTTTGAAAATATGGATTAAACGCGCATTTTGACACTAACACTAGAGACGATTCGTGTAATTTACTCTAAACAATAAGTACAAACACTTTGGAAGATAGGAATAAAAGATGAAAGAGTAGAAGATTTGTACAAGACATGTACATCTTCCTAAAAGTCTTATTCAACTCGTTTCGTTAAAAAAATATCTATGTATGACTTATTCCAAACAAAAATTGTGTATTGCTTGTTCGTATACTTATAACAACAAATCGTTTCCTCAAACCAAACAACAAAACCCCACTACTTTGATAATTTACATGTTTTAAATCCGCCTTAATTTCCTTCAAATCATTAGAATTAATCAAAAAGATACTAAACCTTTCATGCAACTCTATAAACTTAATAATTCCAAACCCAATCAAGGTCCACTAATCCAGCTAAATTCATGGCATAATCTTGATTGTTCCCAAATTCACTTTTTGGGTTTTGTTGCATGTTTGAATGATCATCTTTATCAATCAAGAGCATGAGAATTGAAGGATCATAGTACTGCAAGTATTCAATGTTTGGAACCATTTGGTTGTTTGAAAACCCAAAAATATTATCATTCATTGAAGGCATCATGGAAATTGATTTGTTGTAAGTTTCAATCAAGTCTTCCTTGGTAGGTTTCTGTTCTTGGATAGATTCGGATATTGTTCTTGAGACATCCATTAATGGAGGCAAATTTGAAGGCTCTAATTCATCTTCATAGGAATTGCAATTAATGCCCGAAACCCCAGAAATGTGAATTTTCTTCCCTCCACAATTTTTTTCAAATACCTTACTAATCACCCACTCACCCTACAAAAACAGAGCAAAAATCAGCAAAACACGACAAAATCAGAGTAATATAACAATCAAAAAATAGAGCAAGATTCATCAAAAGAAGGAAAAAATCATCAATATAGAGTAAGATTCATCCAAAACAACCAAAAAAATATAAAACATTGTACGGAATCATCAAAACAAAGCAAACCCATTACAATAGAGTAAAAACAGAGCAAAGAAACATCAAAACCGAGGATAAACAGTGTAAAAACAGAGCAAGTTCAATCAAAAGAAAGCAAAATGAGAGAAACAACCATAAAAATGCAGCAAATAATTGAAAAAACAAAGAATTAATCATAAAAATATTTTCAAAAGCAAAGACATAATCATCAAAGTAGTTTGGAAACCAGAGCAACAATCGTAAAAAGCAAAAACGTTAGCAAGAATCATCGAAACAGAGTAAAGAAATTCATAAAAATGGTACCTTTGATGATGCAGAGAGATTCTTTAATCTTCCTTCTAATCTATACTCATGCATGATCCAGTTCGTCTTTTCTCCTTTCGGAGCTCTACCTTTATAAAACACAAGAGTTTTCTTCATTCCCACAAGTGTTTTTGATTTATAAATTTCTCTATCTTTCCCTGTAGCCTTCCAATACCCCATTTCTGTAGCTCTATTCGATCTTAAACCAGTTGGGTATTTTCGATCTCTAACACAAAAGAAATACCATTCTTTCTCCCCAATTTTCGCCCTCACTGAATTGAATTATGACACCAAAATCAGTAATCAAAAAATAAAAGGTTTCAGAAAACAAAACAGGGTTCATGATCATGGTCAAATAACTTACATGGAAGCTCCCATGGCTCGAATTTGTTCAAATCAACGTCTCCAATGGCTCGACTTGCAAAAGAATCATCAAACACCTTCCGATATAAGTAGTGAATTATGAGTTCGTCGTCAGTAGGATGAAACCGGAAGCCTGGAGGCAGTTCTATGTGTTCTTCATGATCATGGCTGACATGATTGTCTTCCATTGAAGGTTCTGTAATAAGTGAAATCAAGAAATTTGGTTGAGGTTTTCGTGGGTTTTGTAGTTTAAAGAAGCGAAGAGGATCGAGAAGCCATAAATAGTGTTTATGGAGAGACAAGTTGGGTTGGTTAGTTTGAAGCTTTTTGGCCTTCTTTTTTTGCCCATTATTTTGTTTCATGTAAAACCAAAAAACAATATCCGAAAAATGAATGTTTTTTTTTTATATGTTTAAATATAGAGTTCATCACACAAATGTCAAAATATGTAAAAATGTAGCATCAAATTTCCTTTTTTTTCTTTAAAATATCTATATGAAAATTATGATCCATTTTGTGAGGAAGCTTTGTTAATTTTGCCAATTTGTTTTTCTGAAGTCTTATTTTGTAAACTTGATTTTTTCAGAAATGATATTTTTTTTTTGGAAAAATGATGTAATTTTCTGAAAAAATAATTTCATTTTCACAAAATATTATAAATTTTTTGAAATTCTCCAAGGAAAAAATTATGAGAAATATACAGAAAGGTAGATGCTATTAGACCGGAGGGTATGGGGGGAAGCTTCCCTCACTTTTTGTGGGTCATACCTTTCTTTCCCTCACTTTTCTTTCTCCACCTAAAACCGTGGGAAACCCTTCCCTCACTTTTTTTTTATTAAATAAAATTAATTTTTTTTATGATTTATAATTTTTAAATTAATATTAAACATAAAATTTAATTAAAAATAAAAAGCATTTCATTAATTAAAATAAAACTTACATTAAACCTAAAATTTAAGAAACTAGAAAATTAAAAAAAACACAAACTAAAAATCAAGCAAACCAACAATGACCTACGGAAAATATTTTTTCAGAATTTTTTCTCTCTTCTTCATCACGAGCTCGAGAGCCGGCCCCGAGAGATGATCGACGTTTTCCATCAAAAACTTCATATCCTTTATTTCTTGTCTCTCCGCCCGCTCCTTTTTCCTTTTTCTTCTTTTTCTTTGTCGAAAGCCAAACGTTCGGAGAAATTAAGATTATATCGATCAAACGACGATGTTATTTTCCGCATTTCGTCAATGTCCCCGCTAAAATCGGATGCACCCGAAGAAGTCCCTTTTCCCTTTCTCTTCGCTTTGTCCCTACCCATTGGGCGGACAATTTCTTCTAGCTCGAGTTCGTCATCCTGATTTAAATCTAGACTGACCCGAGCATCGGAGGAGGTTGTGTAACCACTAGAGCCCGTTTTCGTTCGCTTTGATTGTTGGACTCCAAAAATAAAATCTTGCTCGTATTTTTTCCACCTAGGACATTGAACCAAAATTTTCCAACAATCGTGCCACTTGAATGGTTTTCCGACTTCTTCAAGGTAAAACTGCAAAGCTTCTTGAAGTATTTGTTCGTCCCCTTGGCCGCTTTTCCGTTGGGTTTTTAGGTTGTTGTACAACCCGTTTATTTTTGAAACCCCCTTTGCTATTTCTCGAAACTTCGAATTCAGTTGATGTTTCGTACGGTAGTCGTCACCTTTTTCTAGCTCCTCTCGAAACCGTTCTGAAATGTGAAACCAAAAATGGTATCCCGGTTGTGCATTTCCTTGAATCGAATCTTCAGAAATGTCAGCCCAAGCTTTGACCAAAACTAGCTCTTCGTGTGGAAGTCATGCAGTCGGCTTTTGTCTTCCCGGTTGTGCGACACCCTCGCGCGCTTGTTTTTTCCCTTTACGTCTTTGTGGGGGTGGTGTGGGTTGAGTTTCGGGAACCATCTCTTCTTCTTCCGAGTCATCCAACTCGTCGACAAGTTGGCGTTGTTGGTGGGTTTGGGTTTGAGTCTGAGTTTGGGTTTGGGGTTGAGGTTGATTTGGCGATTGTTGATCCGGAAACACAATAAAGTTTGAAAACATTTGCGGCGAAACATTTGGAACTTGCATCGGGTAATATTGTCCAACATTTTGGTATTGGAATTGTAGTGGGGATTGAATGAGAGTATCGAGTTGGGGGCGATAAACTCCTTGTGGTGATGAATCGATAGCAAAAATGTTTCGAGAAGGGATGTTTATACTCGAACCATGGCTTTTTTTCCTTCGATCGGAAGTTAGGGTTTGATTGTCGGGATTCATTTTTTTTAGAAGAAAGTAGAGAGAGTAGAGGGTTTGTGTGAATTTTGTTTGATGGTAAATAGTTATGTATTTATAGGTGTGTAAAAAGGTTTAAAAAAACAAAAAAGATGGATTTAAATCCATTTAGCCGTTGCCGCCAAAAAAAATAAAAAAAAATATTTATTTTTGTACCGTTGAATAACGGTTGAATTTCAAAAAAAAAAAAAGAAAGAAAAAAACAAATTACACCCAATCACAGCCGGAGAGAGAACGCGGGAGAGACTCCCTTCACCCATTCCCGCACCACCCTTCCCCGCACCGACGGTGCGGTGTTCCGCCGGGCGGGAAGCTCCCCGCGGGTCTTCCCCGCTCCCATTCCATCCAGCCTTATATACTATTGTATTCGTATTAGGTATTATCCAAGTTTTCATATTTATGTTTAATGTATTTCCACATATTTACATTTGATACAAATTTTATATTATATAGTATTTATATTAGCATATAAGTCTATATTATAACCTATAACGTTAATAAGAACTCATCATAGGATATGTTGAATATTGATTTTATCATGGTTTGATAACACAAGGTTCACCAATGCGCTCCAAACCACCACCTCTCATAATCTCTTCTAGCTGTCACTGAAGGTGCCTTCTACTAAAGGTGACCAAAACCATGAAAAGAAAATTCTCTCCACAATTTCTCTTCTTCGTCATCCCACAAGCCCATCTAAAAATAGAATCATTCCAATCCAATAAATGTCCCTCCCAAAACCTTCTATAAATCTATCTCTTTTCCTACCACCACAACTTAGGCCATATGGTATGGTCCTTATGGACCCATTTGGCACATAGACTATGCACACCATTTACTGTGGTTCATAGGCATGGTGTGAAATGGCTTGCGTTACGCTATGGCATGGAAGAAAGAGAAGCATGCAACGATCTTGTGACAATTTGACCTTTTAAACCAAAATAAGTTTTAAATTAAAATTTTTAAACTATACATTCTAACCTATTTTATACACATTTTCACACTATAAATATCACATATTCTTTACAAAAAAAACCTTCCATAAATCTATCTCTTTTGCCACCACCACAACTTAGGCCATATGGTATGGTTCTTATGGACCTTCCATAAGGATGGTTTGCCACATAGACATGGTGTGAAATGGCTTTAATTACTCTATGGCATGGAAGAAAGAGAAGCATGCAACGATCTTTGACCGTTTGACCATTTAAACAAACAAATAAATAAATAAATTAACATTTTTAACCTATAAATTCTAACCTATGTTATACACATTTCTACATTATAATATCACACATTCTTTACAAAATTATCTATACATTATAAACAAAAATATTTAAATGATGAATAATTTTCATCTTCATCTTCATCCGATAATGATGGTATGTTTTGTTTTCACTTATTCGTGGAAAAGGAATCACCATGTTGAGCTAGCAAGTTGCAAGTTTAAACGCCATCGAAATTACTAGAATTTCAATAAGTAATGATCGTAACGTTGTGCACACACTTCGTATATGTGATTATTTTGTCTATGATTGCTTATACAATCATATTCAATTTAAATCGTTTTCGTATAACTAAACGTTGATTCCTACATACAGATAAAGATTTGGAAGACAATTACGTTTATTTTCAATTAAGATGGGATGCTAGATGTAGACGGATTTTAGTCCGCTACAAAATTTTACATTCGCACTTTGACTTTTGGCATAAAAATCACCACCATAACATCCGCAAAATAGGCCGAGAAGTGTTGGTCTTTTAGTGAAAAATACAAAACAAATATATAAATAGTTAATAAAAATAAATAATTAAAGAAAAATTATAAAATATATTATCAGTATGATAAAAGAATTAAACCATAGTTTTAAATTATTCAAATTCAGAAAAATCATGATTAAGGACCAAAGTTGTCAATTCATAAAAGTTGAGATTGATTCTTATTGACCAAATAGGACTTACATGTCAAAAATTATATGGTTATGGATTAACTATGTACAAATAAAGTAACTAGTTATTTTCTACGTCAAAATGGTGGTCTAGGTGTAAGCTTTTGAAGTTGAGGGGCCTTATTAGTCGAATGTTCATAGTTTTGGGATTAGATATCAAACCCTCTTTTTCCCCCTCATTCAAATTTGTTCAACCCTGAGAGCTCCTCTATGGATGATTGTTTTCATTCACATGCTGATTTGAAGGTTACAAGTCAGTTTGTTGAATCCATGGCCAAATCTCTTCATATCCTAGCTTGAAGGTAAATTTATTTCCATTTTCTTCTCAAAATGGATTCTAGGGTTGTAGGTATAAATTTAGAGTTTCATGTTATTCTTGTGACTTTATGTTAAATTCTAGTTTCTATTTCAATTCCACTTCATGAATTAACCAACAAATTTCATTGTAGTTGCTAGATTTGAGATTCACGGAGGGTTAGGGAGAATTCCAACCCTAGCTTTATGGAGTTTAGATATAATGTTTAACTTGTGATTCCATAATGTGTGTATGATCAGTTTATTTACCTATATCATTATACATATGTAGGTTTGCAAATCATTCTTTTATTGTGTTAACTTGAGTTATGGTGAAGTTTTGGGGTTCTTCCTTAACCCTAGCTTCATAAATTCAAGATTTATGATCATTACAGGGTTATGAAATTTCTTTCAAGTCTAATTCATGTACTCTAGTCTAAATCTAAGTTTGTTATATAAATCATTTGGATATATGGATAAATTGATGATTTAAATCCCTAAACCCGTATCTAGAGTTGTACTTAAGCTTTGTTGAATTATACATTAGTTATGGGACTTGTTAATAATAAGACATGTTTTTCATAAACAGGTATTACTATGTAATAATAAGAGTAATTAGTGAAAGGAAGTGATAGTTCACTTTGAGTCGATTTTATGGATATATAGATCATCAAAATTAGAGTTCGTATGAGAAAATTATTGTCGTTTGAAGTTGAAATAAAAGTACGTTGC